CCTCAGTCCTCTGCTCCCGCCACCCCCCATCTTGCTTCTCTTGAGAATTGAGAAGCCAAGGAAAGAAGAAGACGACGCCTCCCCTCTCCACTTCAATGTTGAATGGCGGATCCTGAGCTTGATAGTGGATTCGTGTACGACATCTACGGTGACATTCACATCACTCGTTCGGAGTTCTTCGACGTTGGATTTGGATTTGACGACACTATTGAGGACTATCTAAATCGCATCTTGCCTACTCTCGTGGACATCATAGACGACCAATTTCAAGACTACGATTGGATCCTCCAAGGCCATCCATCTCGGCCATCTCCGCCACCGCCAACCTTTCCGTGGATCAAGGCCATTGGTGTTGCTACCGTCCTCGTGGCATCGTTGGGTGTGCTGAAGACCTTTTTCCGCTAAGCCTAGTGTAGTTGAGTGATACATCCTCAAGGTGAAAACTCTCTTTATTAAGTTGCAGATTGTTGATTAATAGCTTTTGGTATTGCTACTATCTTTGGGTTACCTAGGAGTTTTGGCTAATCTACATGAACTTCCTCGCCTAAGCTAGTTAAAAACTAAGATTCTTTGATGAACTTGTTTGTTATTTCGATAAGTTATTAATTGGTAATTCATTGTCAACTATTCTTAAAATTTCTTAAATGAGCTCCTGCGCATGTTAGTTTCACATCAATCTTTCTTAAGGGAGCCAGTCAATAATGGATTAATCATTCATCAGGATCATGCCATTTGCATGCATTCATCAACAAATGATTGAGGACATATTTTTATTAGGATCAAAATAATAATAATAATAAACAGAAAAGAATCACAGGTCCAAAATTTTAAGGACCCAACTCACCCCATTAAGGGATATGTTTGCCTTTTTTTTTTAATTTAATTTGGGACAATTTACTTGTTGAGCACAAATATAGTGTGGAAGGGGGGTGTGGGGGATATCATATCACTGTTGCACACCTAGTCATTTCTCCCCCTCCCAACCTGTTTGTCTCCCTTTAGCTAAACTCATCCCCTTTCAGCTTAGCCAGCTCATCTCATCCCAACAATCTTCCAGTGTTAAAAACTAATTTCCTCAGAGCTTATTATTTCTTTGTTCTCCTATGGTCCTGACATAGAGAAATAATCTGATTGTCTATAACGAGTTAACCTTTAGTAACTCAGTTTCATGTATGTTTTTCTTTTCTAAATTATTCACTTCAGTTGTGCTAATGAAGGCTTAAAATTCTGGAATTGGGTATTAAAACATTTTTTTCCTGTGAGGTGAGGTGTAAGCCTCCTAATCAACAAATTGCTCGAAATCTTAAGGTATGTGAATCAAGCGTTTGACAAGCTACTTATGGCCCAACTCAATTAGAGCTTCTTTATGATCATTCAATTAACTAATTAAGCATGCTTGAAAACTTTTATCGGTTATTAAATGAAACAGCTTCAATAGCTCATTACACAAATTATTTATAATTATGAATGGCATATTTAACACTTGTGAAGAAACACGTAAAGGAGGTCGATTAAAGCTTGATATAAAGCTCATTAAAAAGCTCGATTAATCATTGATGTTAATATAAGTATGTGCGTTATAAATATAGAAATATTCATATCAAATATATTTAAATATTTAAAATTTTATAATACAAATGTATAAATATAAAAATATTTTATAACTATAATATAAAGTTTGTAATATAAAATATCTTAAAAATAAAATCTTATGATTTAAAATCAATAGATAATAGTTTATCATTTATAGTTTACCCATTTCAATTCCTACGGCCCAATTCCTATGACCTAATTCCCATAGCCCAATTCACCATTAGCCCATTCCCACAACCCAAACTCCCCATTTATGTAGCTCATTTAGCCCCACATCATATGAAAAAGTTAGGCATGCACTATTTAAATGGGAAAAAAGGACTTCCTGGTTTAAGCATGTGACTCTCGTGAATAGTGGTCAAGCTAATGGTTTAGCATTGCTAAGCCCATGATGGTGTGATATTTTAAAATATGTAATTTTTATACTTATAAGGTTTGTTTTAACAGTTCTTAAATTTTAAATATTAGCTTAAGCAGTTAAATTTGCTTTAGGAATTTTTAAAATTAAAATATTATGATTTAATTAATAAGTTCACCATTATTTGTTTTAAAAGATTAAATTAAAATATTATGGTTTTAACTCGAGCTCGTTAATGTTTGGCTTATTAAAATATTATGGTTTAAGCTCACTAACCTCGGCTCGTTAAGACTTGATAAAGCTCCAAAAGAGCTACACAGTTAAAGCTCAATGATCAAATAATAAGAGCTAAGCTCAAACCAAGCTTGAGCGAGTCTGAATTCAAACAAGTTGAAATTGAACACCGTCATAAAAGCTTGAATCGAGCTTAAACATTCCTTGGATAAAAGAGCTCAAGCTTGAATAGCTTTCGGCTCGGCTCTCGTTTGCATCCCTAAGTAAATATATATTACCTTATTATTGACATAATTTGATTTGTGTGCAGGGAAAAATTTGAGAGATTGCATTGTATATTCTCATGATTAAGAAGGGAAAGTTATGTGCCCCAAACGCAGGACATATGGCTCTTTTGAACCTTCACCTAATCCACCCCCGCCAGCAGCAAAGCACATTTTGCTAACAAATCAATCATACATATGAATACATCAAATTAAATTGATATGAAGTGAAATCAAAATATCCCAATAATAAGACAACATGAATACAATAATATACCAGTCTGCCGGGGTCCAAGGGGGCGCTGCCCGCTAGCGGGGTTCGACCTCAAAACAAAATTTTATTGTAAGAGTAATTTTGAAGTTCTGCTTGTTTTTAAAGTTCGTAAGTTGTTTGTATGGGAAGATATCGAGTGGTACCGAGCATGTACTTAGCAGTACCGAGCATGTACCTAGCGGTACTGAGCGGTACCGAGCATGTACCTAACAGTACCGAGCATATATTGAGCAGTACCGAGCATATACTGAGCGGTACCGAGCATGTACTGAGCGGTACAGAGCATATATTGAGCAGTATCGAGCATGTACTGAGCGATACCGAGCATGTACCTAGCGATACCGAGCATGTACATAGCGATACCTCATTTAATAATCGGACACGCATGTCCGATTTTAATTTTAATTTTTTAAATTGCGACACTCCAATGCCGTGTCGGACACGTGTCCATGCTGTGTCAGACACGTGTCCATGCCGTGTCCGACACTGCATACCCTCTTTAAGTGCCGTGTCAGTGCATCATAGGTCATGCCCAATCACATACATGCTTATCCCTTATATAGCTAAAATGGGCATTTGCTAGAGTCATGGTTGCATTTAATCAAATTAAATTTTCATAAGGATGTCCATGCATACATATTATTTTTCAAAGTTTGTTTCCTATCAACAAGATAGGACTAAGTGTTATGCCACTTAAAATATCTATCATTGATAAAGGACCTAGAAGTGTTCTTGAACCACTCTATTGGTGCTAATTTGTAGTCATATCTCTATAAGGGGCTAAAATAAGCAATGAAAACCACTCAAGTCAATATGGCAAGGTGGGTTACACCTTTTACAAGTTTAAAACTAGGAGTATTTGCATGTAGGAGTGTCAATACTATATGTTCCAACCCACGGGAGATCAATAAGAGTTTTGATTACAGTCAATAATATAATTTTTTAACATGAACTTTACAATTTTGCTAATTAGAAATGATATTTAAATATATAAGGAATAAAGAAATAGTTGTCAAATACGAGCAAGCAATGTGGTGGTTTATAAAAACAAAATTGATAGTCTACCATAGAGTCAAAGCAGCAGCATAATATTTAATTTTTGTTGATAAATCATGTAGCTTAAATTATATGGCACATACAACATGATTGTTGATTATTTCATTATACTTCATAGATAAATTGGCAACCATAATCACATGACCTACTAAATATAACCTCACATATGTTTGTCTGAACTCAGTATTCGGAGGGTTAAATTTCATTGTTTTGTTGGAAATGTGTCAGATGACACCCACTAGATTGTCTGATGAGGCAATTTTGCCAGGTAAAATAGATTAGCATCAAACCAATGGAGTAAGGGTATAAGAGTGTTGATGGAAAAAAAAAAAAAACAGACACTAGTTTGAGTACCACTATAGATACATAAAGATTTGGAACAATCGATCAACATATGTTGTCGAGTGCACCACAGACATAGATGACAACCACACCACAATATTATAGTATATGTAGTGGAATAGATAGAGGTCTTTGTAGCATCTACTTAAATCCCATCTTACTCCAAACACATACTGCCCTAGGGCTCCAGTAGATGTGTGTTGCAATACATTACACATTATTCATGTCCAAGTATCATGCATTTATCTTACAAATTATTTGTTAATTAAATTTCAATGGAAGTAAATCATCAAATTCAAAGAGATATTTGAACCATTTTTGGTGGTGGTCATGGTGAAGATGTTAGTTCCTTACAAAAGAAAGTGGACCAAGTTGTAACCCATGATAACAATGTTCAATGAATGATGCATTTAGAGGATGCCATGTCTAGGGACTATGCAAATCCAAGCACATACTCAATTGCATATCACAATTCCTCAAAACATGCAAATCTAGTTCCATCCAAAATAGTAGAGCTCAATCCATCAACCTATGCAGATCCAAGTCATTCAACCATCTCAAATAAATGTTATTAGCCCTCGCATTCATTCAATTTAAATTGAAGTGCCTCCATTTGGATCCCTCAGCAGTTGCAAACTCCTTTCACACAATTGAGCTAGGGTAAATCAATTCCATTCTAGATGAATCCAACTTGGGTGGCAAATACAATTCATCCAGGGGTTTACACACCACCCACTTCACTCATAGCATTCAATGGCACATCAGTTGCATCATTAAGTGCACAATCTGAATAATAATACCATAAAAGTTTAATCAACATTAAAGCATAGCAAAGCATTTATTTCACTTGAGATGCCCCGAACATGAAGCAGATACAACAATTCCAGCATCAATTTTATGAAAAAAAGCAGGACAAACTGTTACCAAGATTCTTGTCCAAGGTCCTGGTGAACTGGTTAACTGCTGGGGGGACCTTCAAACGCTGCTTAAGGATCCTCCTCTGCCTCTGAATTCTCACAACCTTAGGCCATTTGACGAAGCGATGGAGATCCCTCTTCGGAGGCAGAGCCCCTCCGATGCCGAACTGCTTCGGCCTCTTCTCAAACAGTGGATTCACAACCTTCTCCTGCAAGCCATAACACATTAAAAAAGCCAAAAATCACCAAAGTAACACTAAAAAAAGACCAAAAAACAAAAAAAAAACGAAATCTACCGTCTTCTTTTTCCCCGCGACCGGCGCCTTACCTCCTCTCTTTGGAGCCTGCAATATTAGCAACAGGAATCTCAAAACCCAATAGAAGAAAATCTGATCAAACTATAAATCAAGCAACGCAGCAATGGAATTAGATTTGTGAGCTGTACCATTTCAGCTATAGTAGCGACGGCTAACTTAGGGTTTCTTCGATATGGTTGGAGCGACTGAATGGCTCTGACGAACGAAGAGGACCAGTTAGATCCGAGAGCTTTATATGGATGGGCATTTTTGTGAATTACGCTGCACCCTCGAGGAAGATCTGCACCGTTGGATGAGTTAAACAGGCCAGAATTTTCTGACCGTCTGATTATGTCTCACTACAAAATAAAATTTTCGTTACACGTTTGCTTCTGCGCCCGCGCCCCCCAAATAAATTCATTTTCTCAATGATTAACGATTTCAAGTATAAATAATCAAGTTCGTGAAAATCGGATCAAACAACAAACTGTAAGGAGAAATTCGCGGACTGGTAAAATCAGGATCGAAATAAATGACGTAATACATAATAATATTATTAAAAATTAATAAAATTAGTTTCACCTCCGTAGCCATTTAACATCATATTATTCTTATGGCACTATTTTGGTTGTTTGGCATTCATTAAGCATATATGACAACTCAAAATAAACTAATAATGGAACTACTTGTTAAGGATACCGACACGTCACCTTGTACAAAGGCTGAACCGGTCACCACATTGTACTTAGTCTATATAAACATACTTATGTAAATGAGCAAGTTAAGGTTTTCTAATACAATTGTTCTATTCCTCTCGTTCACTTCTTTCGTCTTCTTCCTCTATCTCCTTCTTCACGGTTCTACCATTTTCACACTACTAAGTCTACAAAACATAAATAAAAACATATAACACAAATGGAGTATCAATTAAGCCTATAAAATATAAACAAATATTTCACAAATTACTTAAGCTGGATTTATAACTAATCTAATAAATCGAGAGTAACTGTAACAGCAACAACAACACAAAACGACACACCTTGCGGCTCCAGGTTCCCGCATGACATGGTCCAGCCATCCATGGCTCCTAGTTCCTGCACAGGATGGCCAAACAATATTGCATTGGGGGAGGAATGCATACCTATTGTCGAGCCTATATTGTGTATTGGGTGTTGAGTGCATACTATTTTCAGTTCTCTTTCTATAACATGTGAAACAGTTAAAAAAGAAATAAACAAAAGAATTTTTTGAGATCTTATAGTTTCTATCTCCAATTAGAAAAGCTCTGAAAATAAAATAAATATAAGATACTAATCTTAATTGTGCACATAATGTGAAGTAAATAAGCAAAATATTTTAGCAAGATTGTGACACTTTGTACTAAGTTATAAGAAAAAACAATACATTCATAATACAGATAAGAAGGCAAGGGGCTTACTCTTATAAGAAAATAATAAAATGTGACATATATAAGATGTTTTTGCAATAATTTATCAAAATAATAATTCATTATTTCATTCATTTTTAGAATATTTTATTATAGGGTCATCATTCAACGAATTTGGGAATTTGGGTTCGATTGAAGAATGATTAAAAGTTATTCAATATAATCTCAAGTTAAGCCAAATTTATTATCTATTGGCTTGATCCTATCTTCAAGCTATCTTTAATCTTTGTGTGCAACTTAGAATGATAAATTAATTATTATTATGTAATTTTAATTATGTGATAGTTTTAAAAATTCAATTATCAAATTTAGCTTTAAATAAAAAATTATTTTCAAAATCATCTTTTATAGTTTTATGAATACTTAAAAATAAAATATAGAAAATACTACATAGGTAATGTTAAATACATTAAATTAATGAAAAAAAATTTAGGAAATCTGATTTTGAAATTGAGCTTTCCTTGTATGTTTAGTCTTAAAAAATGTTGGAGATTATATTTTGTCATTTAAATATTTAAAAAATTGGTTATAATTATTTGATAAGATAAATTCTTTTCAAATGAAAATTTTATAGTAATTATGATTAGAATGTAATAATTAAAAGGTTATATGGTATATATAATAAATTATATATTAAATTGATTGGGTGGAAGTGATTTCATTCATTATTATTTTTTTTTAGTAAAAAATGTATATTTTTTTGAGGGAGCTCTATGTTAAAATGGATCTCTATGCAAACTGGCAAAGCAGTAGAAAAAGCTTCATATAGTATAATTTACGAAAGGCAAATCAGCAAACGAAACCTTAATTATAAGCAATCTTCATGAATTTGTTCACTATCAGCTCTTATATAGACATGAGGTAGTTAAGGAACTAAAAAAAAAAAAAAAAGAGGAAGGTAATGGTTTACACTTTACAATTTATAGTTTACTTTTACTGAATCGTTAAAAAAAATCAAAAACAAAATGAGGTTTATGATATACCGTGAGTTATGAGTATGAGAGTTATGTGCCGAGCGGAGAGGAAGAAACGACATAGAGGAAGTGAGGAGTAGGACCTATGCTGGGAGGTCTTCACCGGAGGCTTGTAGATGCTCGTCCTGCTCACGAACGCAATATTGAGCATACAAGGAATTAGAGTAGCGTAGAGTTAGGACTGCATTCGAACTTCCCATGAATGAAATCAGGGGTGCTAGTTTGCTTACGAGAATTAGGTTTTCTTTTAGATATATAGATCTGGACCGTATGATCATCATTTGATGGTTAATATTAATACATGATCAAGCCAAATAGTTTTGAAAAATCGACGTCGATTCGACAGTTCGACGACCGCCGATTCGAGCGATACAAAGCCAGTTCGATGCTATTATGGTTCTTCATTTTGATCAAATCGTTTAGCCGATCAGTTCCCAATTGAACCGATTGATCTGGCCGGTTCGATCCGATTTTAATAACCTTGTAAATAGCACACATTTATAGAATAGTGCTGTTATTTTAGCTCAAGGAACAATGCTATACTACTCAAATAAATTTATATATATTATAAGTTACAATATTCATAATAGTAAAAGAGAAAATTTATTGTTTTAATATAATATGAAAATTTTGTATACATAACCGTTGAGATAAGTTGAGAGAAACTCATGATAAGAGTGATTTTTTATGTGGAAATTCAAAAAGAGAAAAATTCACTAATTGAAATGATTTCACTAACATATGTTGTAGATTATAAATGATTGCCTTCACTTTAATTAAGGAATGTATTAATATATTTTAATATACCTGAACTATGAAGGAATGTTTTTATGGTGGAAGTTGTAAAAGCTTGAGACGTTAAAGTGTTCTTCAAGAGATATCGATGGTCCACCCAATCATTTTTTTTTTCTTCTAAGAGAAGAGATTAGAAACCAAGAAGATGAGAATAAAACTTAATTTCGATGTCGGACATTAATGTTGGTGTCATTGTGTGATGCCTGAGAATCTAAGTTGGAAGAAGTAGTTCTTTAATCGTTTTAATTATAACAATCAGAGCCGTCTAATTTCTTTCAATAATATAAATAGCAATAGAAATGAATCAATAGATCAAAACATCAATGTACATCTATAATCACTATCCATAAATCATATACAATATTCACGAGTCATATATACAAATATAACAATTCATCTTCTCACTCTCAAGTACAAAATAATAACAAAAAGACAAAAGAAACACACAATAATAAAATTGAGAAATCTTGTAGCTGATAAGTCTCTCACTCTCGATCCTCTTCTCTGACTTGAAATCATTTAAGTCACATATAATAAACTAAAAAGCTCTATAGGCCACTTTCATCCTATAACTGAACTCAACGCATGATATTCAAATAATATGTAGGTAATCATTTGATTTATATAGTACAATCAATATGATCATGAATTTGTGAAAAATAGTAAAATATATGTTGTAGCAGTAAAATCTATAAAATAGTGTGGTATAGAGGCCAATAAAATATTACAACACATAAACAAAGAAATTTGTAAATCAGTAAACCCAACACAAATGTCATTCATACGTCTTAATAGTGTTATTCCCTTAATAAAGAAATCATATAGATTGGTAAAACTGAAGCACCTATGAAGACGGTTAGAATTCATAATAATGTAGTAATATCAAATCAATTATACACATGATGTTCAATCATTCTATATCAGTATCAAATCAGTATCTTATATCACATGCTCAGTAATATAAAGCACGCGCTCAGTAACAATAAATTATTAAATGATGAATTAATAAAACTAAAATTACAGTGAATAAGTAATAGTATCAATATCAATAAAATATGCATCAATAATAGTAAAATAGTACGATAACAATAAATTAATGCATCTCACTAATCACACTAAACAAGAAATGAGTTCTAACTTAAGTGATGTTTTCCAGTAATTAATAAATAAGTAAATTAGTAACTGCAGTCTCAGTAAATAGAGTCATCACTCTTTGCTCATTGGCACAATAATTATCTCCTTATAACTCGATCTCAATAAGTAAATCGCATAAATCGGTAGAGGATAATACTAAACCATGGTATAAGGAAAGCCTGTTGCCCACCATCTTATGCAGGTCAGTCGGTCTCCAGCCAATGTCGATAAATAATCGGCATTTACTTATTTTCAAATACATTATTATTTAATATTATTAAAGTAATAGCGATCGGCTATCACCCAATCACATACAAGTATTCATTCACCATGCTTATAATAATATTATGCTTGCATCAAAATACCAAAATACTATTCTATGCAAATCATACAAAATGCAATAATTACCATTTTACCTGGCAAAATTATGAATTCTACCAATCAAAATATCCAAAATAATCAGTACTAAAATATATAAAAAGTTACACGATAAAACTTCACTAAATGTAGATAAAATGCAATTAAAATTATTTTGGGAGGAACCGAATGGTCGAAATCAAAATCATTAAAAACAAAAATAGGATAGAAGTCACCTATAGTGATATGAAGAATTTTTATAAAGGGACGAAACAAACCATCAGCCAAAACTTTGTTTCCTTTTTCCTCTCTCCTCCTCTCACTCTCCTTCTTTTCTTCCTTACCCATCAAGAGAAAAAAAAAGAGAGAAAGAAAGAGCTGAGTGGAGAGAAATATATATATATATATATATATATATATACTCATTTCAGTGCTCAGCACCACGGCGCCATGATGCAATGATATTACGCTGCATGCTGAATCCAGAATTATTGTAGAATAGAGCCATTAACTTTGTGAAAACAATTTTTGGAGCCTGTGCACTCTAAGGCACAGTGTCGCAACATTCCAGTTCAACCAGAAATTCATATTTTTATTTTGAATTTATTTTCATAATTGTTAGGTTTTTTACATATTGTTAGAAATCAACATTGATGGTAAAAGTGAGTGAAGACTTGGCATTGAGGTTGATATTAGTAGGCATCAACTTTGTTAGCAATAATGTATGTTGACATTGGTGGCAATAACATCTATAAAACTTGTTAACAATAATGGACATAAATATTATTGGCAATGGTGGACGTTAACGTTGGGGTCAATAGCATGCATCAATCTTGTTGACAATAACATACATGACATTAGTGTTGACGGTGTGCATCAATATCATTGATAATAACTGGCATCGATGGGTATCAAATGTATGCATTGACTTTATTATCAATGGAGGGCGTCAGCATTGGTGTTAAAAGCTTGGTAAGATCTTGTTGGTCACTGTATGTGTCAACATTTGTGCTAATGACATGGATATGCATTTGTTAGCGATGGTGCATGTCAACTTGAATGTTGATGGTATGCAACAACTTTATTAATGATGGTGTGAGACGATTTTGATGTTAACAGTATGCATCAACCTTATTTGCGTTAATGTGCATCAACATTAATATTGATGGTGCATAGTCAGTAATGATAGGCGTTGATATTGAAGTTGACTTCTTGCATAAGCTTTGTTGATGATGGTATGCATTAATTTTGGTATTGACATCATGCATTGACCTTACTAGTAATGGTACACATCAACATTAGTGTGAATAACATGTATTACCTTTATTGATGATGACATGTGTCAACATTAATATTGATGGCCATTGGAAGATGATAATAAGGTGATTGTGGTTAATTGAGATCACTAGTAGTGATCATTGAGAAAAAGATCTTAAATTCCTAAAATCTGTTAACTTTCTCTCACTCTATGTTCCTCTCAGATGAATAATATGACATATTTATAAAATTTGGAGTAATATTTAAATTATTTTAATAAAAATCCTCAAACATTTCATTTGACGTCTTATAAGTATCTCCTTAATCATACATGATTCTTTAGGTAAGTGTATTTATAACATAAAAAATTAGCGATTTTTGATTGATTGAATTCATGTTGACAAGTTGCTTTGACTCTAAACTCATAAGATTCAAAATTGATTTTTACCTTCAAATAGTATATAATAATAATAATAATAATAATAATAATAATAATAATAATAGTGCTAGATTAGGACATTTGCATACTGATCAAAGCATTTTGGTGTCACATTGTTAATCACATCAAAATGTTTATTTCAATTATAAGTTTGCCAAAATCAATGTGAATGGTCACATGGTTGATTTTTAAAAAATTTAAATCATATTCTTATGTCCAAGTTCAAGCTTGATCGAATGAATTTCTAATAACATATTTGTTGCTTCTTTATTTAGGATATTAAATTATGTTTGTCCAAATATATATTGGGTATTGAATATTATGCCAGGTAAAGTCATCACCTCAATAACAAGTCTTTATCCTAACATGTGGGGTTGGCTACATGAATCCTTTTTCTCCATTGTGTCATATTAAGAGTCAAATTCTTATCTAAATCTAATAAAGAAAGGTTATTCCTAATATTTTCTAACCAAATCTTTTTTAGGTCTACCTATACCTTTATTAACATAAGTCAAATCTAATGCATCTACATTCTAACCGAGTTATCGGAAGGCCACCATTTATGTGACCAAACCATCTACGACAAATCTCTCTAATCTTATCTTCCACTAAAGCTACTCCAACCTTTTCACGTATATGCTCTTTTTTTATCCTGTCTGTAAGAGTAAGCAACTCATCCACCTGAGCATCCTCTTCTCTGCAACACTTAACTTAATATTATGCTTCTCTTTTAATGGCCAACATATTAAGCCATAAAGCATTGCAGCTCTCACTAGCATCTTATAGAATTTTCCCTTAAGTTTGAGAGGGACTTTTCTATCACACAACAAGCCAAATGCATTCCTCCACTTCAACCATCCAACTTGAGTTCTACTAATAATATCCCCATCTATTTCACCATCCCTCTAAATAATATATCCAAGATATCTAAAATGTATACTCTTATGACTTGATCGCCCAAAGTCATAATCCCCCCACTAGATTTATTATCACTAAAATTACACTCAATATATTCATTTTTTAGATATACTCAAATAAGGCATTTAGACTCTAAGGTTGGCCTCCATAATTCAAGTTAACTTTCAACTCCCTCTCTAATCTTATAAAATAATAATAATAATAATAATATCATCAATATCCTATCTTTAGAATAACTTTACTGTCTTTGCAATCTAAATGATCTATTTAATTTTTTTTTGAGTTTTACTATATTCATTCTTATAAGTGATGAGATGCTTATCTCTTTTCTTAAATAAAATATTATCAATATTATAATCATAAGTTAAAGAAAAATCTAATATGGTCTCTCCAAAGGCATAACCACCATGAATACTTTTAAATCATTATCCTCTCTACCAACATGACCATTTAAATCTCCTCTAATAAACTCTTTCTTCAAGAGGTATTTTTATATTAATTCTTTTAGATCATTCCAAAGTTTAGTTTTGAACACATATCCAAATCTACTTGAGGAGCATAAATGCTTAAAATATGAATAATCTTAGCATTAACAATAAAATTTAAAGCTATAATTTTATTTCCGATTCTTTTCATTCTTACAATATTATCATTCAAACTCTTATCTATAATCACACTTGCAAAATTTTTAGTACGACTCCTATCAGAATACCATAATTGAAATTCTAAAGTATCAATTTCCTTAGCTTTCTTTCCATCACATCTAGTTTCATGAATGCATATAATTTTTATCTTTATATGGATCATAATATCTATTAATTTTATTAATTTTCGTATAAGAGGAACCTATATTTCAAGTTTTCATCCTAATTTTAGTTTCACATCTATCCATGATATGAAAACCCTTGTCTATATAATACTGCACTCAGGCGCCGGTGCAACAGCTCTTGCTCACTTGTTGCCGTGTTCATGCCATACAATACATTGCTTCCAAGGAGCACCATAGTATTAATACAATGTATTAAAGGATTCATATCATAATTATTCTATAAATTTTATGTTGACTATCGACTACCTAATACAACCCTCCGATTTTTTCATTCAGGACTTGAGACCTAGTAATGACCATGTAAAGTCATAATTAAAAAAAAAAAAATGATGTAAACCACTCTTGAACATCAATGTGAACCTCTCCTTAGGGCCATAAATTGAACAAATTCTTAATGATTAAGATTGTATGTTTTTATAAGTTAGCATGCAAATCAAAGCAATATTTTGCTACATATTCTTTAAAATAAGTCATAATTCTCTATTTGGTGTAGAAATTGTCAAAAAAAAAAAAAAAAAAAAAATTGCAAGGGTGCGTGGTGTGGTTGATTATGAAAGAAGACCTGATAGGCCTGAAATTAAGCCCAAATGTACAAGCACGAGCCTAGGCTACCAATCAGCCGCACCATTCTGCTTGGTTACCCACAAGCAAGGTACAAGTGGACATTATCCCCACAAAGGTTGTACCTTTTGCATTGTTTCACTTTTTATAAAACATTAAAATGTTTTTACTATATATTTCAAAATTTCTTTCAAGTGCAATTACTTGAAAGTAATAGTAAGACAATTAAAAAAAATCAAATTTTTTTTAAATGATGAGAAAGAAAAGAAAATAAGAGAAAACTCTATTATATTCCCTCAATTACAAATATCCTCATAGGGCGCTTGGGATAGAACAAATTTTTCTCCCCAAGCTCTAATTTTCTAAAAAAAAAAAAAGAAGCACACAATAGCATGAGACAAAATTGTGGACAATTAGGAATCAATTTTTTTTTTTAAAATATGCTCTTTTGTTTATTGCACACTTTAAAATTCTGTATCTCATACATTTATAAAAACTGGATGAAATTTTTTACAGAAACATTCTTGATGTATAGCACCCTCCATAGAATTTTATACTCAGATATTTTTTCCAAAAAAATAAAAGGTTATTGGTCAACAGTTCCTTCATACTTAATATAATTAAGTATGAGAATCATTCATAAACATTGGCTTGATCCATGTCTAAAACCAATATTAAAAACTTCAATTCTGCAAGAACATTTGTTGATCATTAGACAAATGATTCTATCACTTATCCATGCTTCTTCCAATATGCTTTGATCATAGTTGAACATCCTTGTAGTTATAATCAAACAAAAGAAAGAATAATTATGTGATCAAATTACAATTTTTGAAAAAAAAAAACATGGAAGAAAGTAAAAAACGCAAAATAACTGTATGTGACAACAAATAGATTAAACATACAAAATAAAGAGCCTATCATAGGGAAAACCTGCATACACTCAAATGAATAATATAAGTCCAAATGTGGGATTGTCCAGAGGCTTGAATCGTTTTCAACAAGAAAATAGGACTCCAAAAAACTTGTGCTCGCCAACCCGTAAGGGAGGAACTGATTAGTGCAGTTTATTTATTTATTTTCAATTCAGCACTTGACGAAATTGAAGAGAAATGAGGGTACAAACGGCGTAAGGTTAATGATGATAACTTCAAAAATTGAACTTAGCGAAAATCTGCAGCAGAATACGAAGATCAAAATAATATTAGATATCCTTGTAGTGATTGCATAAAGGAGGTATCACAAACGAACAAAGCAAAAATCACATGAATGTACGCTACTGAAACTAGTTCCATTGAAGTAAAGGAAATGGAAAGGGATATGGAATGTGGTGTTTGATAGCTACTCTATTGTCCAAACCTACAACAATCCCAAAAGCAAATTAAGGCTTCGGTTGGGACAGCTTTCTCACTGCTTCCTGCAGTAGTTTTTTAGTGAAAAAATTAAAATTTTTGTACTAAAAAGCTGTTTTAAGCAGCAAGAAAGCCGTCCCATATGAAGCCTAAAGCAATTGAAATCCATGAACCAACATGTCGAGCTCTGAACAGACCTACTTGGTTCGGATGGAATTTCATTAATCTAGTTGAGATATCCAGGAGTACCAAAAGGTTCTTTTAGAGATACTAAAGAATTGTAACAAAATGGTATAATTAAAAGATGAATATCAAATTTTAATATAGATATGATAAAGCTATACAGCAGATTATTTTGAGAAAATTTCAGTAATGTAAATTAAACTATTTAATGTAGATAGCAACAGCAGAAAACAAAGATGAGCCAATGCAGCTTAGCCTATTAAAACAAATGCTGATTATAAACTTTGGATATCTTAAGCATCTTTATTAGCTCAAGAATGTTTCTTAAAGGACAGATGGAGACCGAGTCAAGTTTAAATAACCAAACAGCAGTGAAGTGCCTACCTCGATCTCAACCACATATGCGGCATGTACACATTAATTCCTGAAAATTCAGAACTGTCCTTAGTTTCAACATTAATTATGCATATTTGATAACGATGCTTTTTAAGACAGGAAACCTACTCGAAGAGTTTGCCAGATGTGCTGAATTTAATGGATGGGCTGCACGTTCTAATCATCTTCTGTTCCAAAGTAACTTTCGTCGGTTCCGAAATATCTATCTCCAAACTCACCCATGCCAGGAATAACTCGAAAATCTTCATTCAAACCTTGCTCTATTTCTGATGTCACAATCTTGATTCTTGGGAATCTTTTACACACAACGTGAACTCCTTGAGGTGCCTACTTGATCAGAGAGAAAATAGTTTCAGAAATCAAATAGATGAGACTAATCAAGATGAAGCAACCAGAAAAAGAGAACTCGTATGAAAGAGAGCAAACAAATTGACTCCATAAATCTAGAACAGGATAACTGAGATTGACCCCACAGGAATTATGAAAATGCTGTGTTTTCCATTTATTACCCATGAATATAGTGCATCCATGTAAAGAAACATAATTGTCATGCAATAAATCATTTCGGATCTTACATGTTAAGTTTATTTAGCTCATATAGACCGCGGCGTAAGTTGAACAAATATATTATTGATAGTTTGTTGGACAACAACATTTTTTTTATGTTATGCGGTAGAACATGCTTAAGGATATCAAGTGTTGTTATGTGCCGGAACATTTGCAGAGGTAAAGACGTAGAGAGTTTAACGTCCTAGTGTTATACGAAGATCCAAGACACGCACATATACTACAGGAGAGGTGCAAGAACTGTAAGAGATATTAGATTTTTTATGCAAAAAAACCTTAAAAGGGAAAAACCACGATGGCAGTCTCAAAAAATACATCCACTGTCACGACCTGGACCAGATGCTTGAATTAACAAGGCGGGAACAGACAGTCGGATGGTAGATTAAATTTGCTTTTACTTAATCTATCTCAAATACATTGAAAGAGCCATTAAAACTTAAAAATATAAACTGAATAAAATGAATTTAATACCTTTCTTCCGGTGTGCCATGCCTACGGTATACATTTTCACCTATTATGCTCATTTTGATTATATCCAATTATACCTGTAATTATTTTTCAATAGGAAGAGTGTCATAAAGAACTCAGTAAGTAATTCATGCTTTTAAACTACAGTAACTCAAGAAATTTGAAACAATATGCATGATCCATTTTTCATTTCATATCATAAAATAATTACATTTAATCATATCATTTCATCAAGAATTTCAATATTATGCATAAATCATATGTCATATGTATCATATTTGTATTCATATTTGTCTCATTTCTTATTTATCATAAATAATACAACCGTCACAGGTGCCATCATCTAATTTAGTACCATTGAAGGCACTTCTTTGCTATTTTTATTTCCTTTTCCTTTTTCATAACCTTTTCCATTAACGTGCGCATATACATTGCGTCCCCAACCAGTACCATAAAGGAGTGTGCTCTATTAGTCAACATGCACATGCAAACATTCTACATAAATCATATCATTTCCATATCATTCATTTACTTTATATGAAAATATAAATCATGCCATTTATTTTCATTTAATTCAACGTGATCAATCATTAGGTATGAGAAGGACGAATCATAATCTAATTCGCAAAAAATACTTAATAAGCATATATCACTATCTTTCAATGCATTTAATTTAAGAAAGAATAAAATCATTACTATAATTAAAAGACATGAATACTCACATTAAGATTAAATAACTTACACTTATTGTCCTTGCTCTGACTTCAATAAAATGACACCTATAATAATAAATGATTTCATTAGATTATTTTAACTTATATACATATAATCATATCTCTCTTTAATTAATTATTAAGTATACTTAAATAGTTCTTACTTTTAAATAAGATAATTTGTTATCATCATTTCAACATTTATATACGAACTATGATTTAATTTTCATTAATTTATAACATTTTAATATTTAATAACATCTCATTTTAATTTAATTAAACAATACTCTCTTTTAAAAATTAATAATTAAATGAAATATCTCTTAAGCTCTCTCTCAAATTACTTAGTTAATTCACTAATTAGAATTTTAATATAAGATATTCATTCTCTTTCTAATTAATTATCTAAATTAATATTTTCAATTAAAATTCATACCTTATTTTAATCAATAATCTCTCATGTAAATACCAATTTATCTCATTTTAATTACTAGTTTCTAATATTAATTTTTATTATCATTATTATTATTATTCTTTATCAAAATAATATTAATAAAAGAATGAAAATCTTACCTTTTCAAGTTAACGAAGCCCTTGCTCACGCTCGCCACCCTTGCATGTTGATAAAACTCAAGCCCTAGCCTGCACGCACGTGTCTTCTTCTTCCTTCCTTTTTTCCTTCTCTTTCTCTCTATTTCTTCCCTTCTTCTTCTTCTTCCTTTTGGCAACACTTCCTCTCATTCAAAGTCTCTTCGGTTCAAAAGGGGAGCGAAATACAGTTATTCTTTACAAGGAGTTGCTATTTTTCTCCCTCGCATGCGATTCTTCGCTCATTGGCGCGATTAGACCCTGTCAGATGCCCCCACGCTCGCGGTCGGCTTGTCCTTCGCTCGCTGGATTGCATACTGCTTCGTTTCGCCCGACTCTGCTTGATTTATTAACTGGCCAGTTCACTTGAACCAGCCAAACCGGCTCCTACATCCACTAGAATTTATATTTGATTATAGGTGAAAACTTTCCTTGGGGAAGGTATCGAAATACTATAAAGAATACATTATTTGATTGAAATTGAAAAACATAAATCCTATTGTTGAAGTTCAAAGTCATAGTTGATATTAATGGTTTGCACCAATCTTACAAGTGTCGTTGTGCATTGGCATTATTGACCATGGTAGGTAATGAAGTCAATAGCCATTGAAGTAGCCAAGCGACATTGGTCAAGATTTTGTAGGTTGGCGACCTATATTCAACATGCGACGGAGGTCAAAAGGATCATAGTTGAGCTACAGTGGTCGGAGGACTACAATCAGTGGGAGGAGGTTGGAGGATTATAATTAGACGATGGTGATCAGAGCATCGTAGTTGGCAGGCAAAAGGGGTCGAAAGAACTATAATCGACAGGCAATGAAAATTGGCAAGACTGTTGTTGACAATGATGGTTTGAAAATTGTAGTTGGCAAGCGACGTAGGTTGAAAGGATCATAGTCGGACAACAGTGGTCCAAAGATTATAATTAGGGTGACGATGGTTGGAGGGACTGTGACTGACGGGCGATAGAGGACAAAAGGACTGTAGTCAGCAGGTGATGAAGACTGGCAGGACTGTAGTTGGTGAGCGAAGGAGGTCGAAATGATCGTAGTCAGGCGATAGTAATAGGAGGACCGTAGTTGGGAGATGGTGGTTAAATGATCGTTGTTGGGTGATGGAGGTCCTAGGATCATAGTTGGTGATTATATTGAGGATCGTAGTCGGGCAATAGTGATCCCAGGATTGTAATAAGCGGGCGATGGAGGTCGAAACGACTGTAGTCGGGTAACGATGGTCAAAGGACTGTAGTCAGAGTGACAGAGGTCTGAAGGGCCATAGTTGGACAACGATGGTAGGAGGGTCATAGTCGGGGGACTGTGGTTGGAAGATCATAGTAAGCAGACGACATAGGCTGAAAGATCAAACGACGGTGGTTGGAAAATCGTAGTTAGTGAATGAAAGAGTTCAGACGAATTGTAGTTGGGTGGTTCTAGTTGGAGGATAGTATTCAATAGTGACAAAGGTTAGAGGACCATAATTGGCGGGCAACCAAGTTAGAAGAACCATGGTCGGGTGATGAAGGTCAAAGGATAGTGGTCAGACGACTATAATCGAAGGACCGTAATTAGGCAACGAAGATTCGAGGATCGTAGTCAGCAAGCTACGAAGCTTGGAAGGATTACTGTCCGAAGATAGTGTCCGAGAGATCATAGTTCATCGACGTTGGTATGAAGACTATAGTTAGCGGGCTACTAAGATCCAAAGGACCATAGTTAGGCGACGATGGTCTGATGGTGGCAGTTGGCCGGCAAAAGGACTGGCAACAATGACCGGGGATAAAGGTTTGATGTTCACTGTCGGCAGGTGAAAGCTCAACGACAGTGGTCGGCCAAAAAAGTTTAGAAGTGTCAGCCAGATGGATGTCTGTCAGCGGCAGCCTAAGGGAGGTCTGACAATAGTGGTCAGGAGGTGAAAGCCTAGCGATGGTTGGCCTGCGAGGGTTTGCTGGTGGTAGTTAGCCAACAAAAGTCAAATGAATGCGACAGCCAGGTGGAGATCCGACGATGATAGTTAGATGGCGAGGGTTTGCTAGTGGTGGTGCTCGGGTGAAGCTCTAGGATTCTTCAAACCTCAGAGCTTTTTTGAAACTCAAGCCAATGGTCATTTTCAACACAATTATTGACCATATGGATAATTTTTATAGATAATTCATCAAAGGATGCATTATTATGTTTCTTAAATGTTTCTTCAAATATAGTAAGCACGGTTTGTTCAATTTACCAGTCAAGAATAGATTTAGTTTCAAATAGAAGTTTGGGTTTGGATATGATCTCAAGCTCATTTTCAATATGATAATCAAATTCTAATTCATATTCAAGTATAGGTTCAAGTCATGTGTTTGGCATAATAAAAGATGAAGATTCAAAGTCAACAGGCTTAAATAAAAATCTTCTTTTGCATCTAATGTACCATTAACAGAATATTCATAATTATAATCTTTCAATAATATAATATTTGACTATGCATGACCCATGTGTTACTGTGTGAATTTGAAAAACTTTAGAGAAAATGATATGATTTTTTCTTCCAAAACATTAAAAATAAATGATGCAGTCCTGATGAGAGAATACTTGTAATATTTTTCAATATCTAATATTATGTATAAAGCTTCATGTAATATTTTTGATGAATTATAGCTTAATTCATCCATAAATTCTTTCATATGATCTTTAATTAAATAGATAATGAGAACATATTAATATAAAGGAAAATAATATTTAACTATAAGATATTTAAATATTGCATAATATTCAAACATGCTATAGTCAATTGTTTAATTCTTAAATTAATCATATATTCATTGAATGGTAAATATTATCCTTTAAATTTATGCCATATTTATAACTATGTAAATTTTGTTTCACTTGCAAAACTTCACCAAAATAATTAACCATATCTCACTAATTTATTTTAGAAACTTATCCCCAATTAATATATCACGTTGACATTTTTGACTCAGCTAAGACGAAAGTCGAATAGGAGGCCAAAGGA